TGTAACAGATCCTATTTTACTTATAAAGAAAGAGTCGAAATTGTACCTCACAATTTTGATGGACTTTGGATTTATGTAGTAGTATAAAAAATAAAAGATCTTATTTTATTATACGAGCGTTTAAAATTTTAAAACAACCGTTTAACTTATATATGTAAAATAAGGCTAGTAATTCTGCTTTTATTTCTGCTTATATTTTGCATTAGTACAATAGTGCTATAAAATTATTTTTATTATATCGAAATATCTACATTACTGTAAAAGAATATGTATATCTCTCTACTCTTTAACACAAATAACTTTTGTAAATCGCTATATTCGCAATAGAATTTAATTAAAACCATCAATTTTATATATATTTGTTATAGTTTATCTGCTTTAGTTTAGAAGATAATAAAAAATAAACGATTTATGCTGGAAAACCCCTCTGTATAGTAAGCAAATTGACAGAACTTAGAAATATAAAATTTTGTTTAAAAAATTATTTAAAAATTATTTAATATTGACATATAACATTTTGATATTTGTAGTAAAAATGTTATAATTATTTGTTCATAATACAAAAATTACTTATACAAGACATTTAATTCACGAATATCATCTTTATACGATCAATATGTTCTAAAAATATTGGAATCTATAAACTGTTTTTTATCACTATTTTTAGTTACTTAAAAATTTATTTGAAATATATATCTATAACAATTTTTACGTTATTAATATCTATTACATTATTTATTAGTATATGCTTATATTATCATTTTAAAATAAATATATATTATCTTATATAGAGGGCTCACATAACTCTTAACAACTTCATATTTCTAAACTAGGTCATCGAGTTTAAAAGGTTAAAAGTTTAAATTAAGAGTTTAAATGGATTTCTTCAAATTAAATGGATATCTCTATATCTTGCGTAGCAGTTAACGATAAAATTTTTATAGAACATTAAATCTATATAAAATTATATTTTCTAACTTAATTTTATCTAAAACATTTTAGATGTTTCTATGAAAAATAATAACGATTAAGCAGGTTTCGACTTATAGTTACTCGAAACGCTCGAAATCACAATCAAATAATACCCTATCCTAACTTACCAGCAAGAAATGATGGTCGATGTCAAATTGATCGATGACAATTGACGTCGATTCGACCATCATTTTTCTCTGGGTACTTAATTTATTAAATGCCCAAATGTTCATCAGTCCCAACCCCACAAACACATTAACGTTATGTAAACGTTTAATAAACGTTTTTCGTTTGTTAACTTGCCAAATGGTTTGTTCCCTTAACGATGAAAACGTCCTTGTAGAAAAGTAAAAATCCAAAGACTTATATCACTTGAAGAATTGTGAGTCTTTATATTTTTTAGTGCACAGAGAATATTGATGTGCCCAATTTTTGCAATATTATAAAACTCTATTGAATAAGCCTCAATAATGAATGGTAATGGTGGGTTTACAATGAACTTAACGTAAAGGAAATGCGACGCGACGTGAAATAACGTGAAGTAAACTTAACGATAAAGTATGTTTGTCTAATTACGATCGCCGTAATCTACCATTCAATGTTTCGGCCACAATCTTCCATGCGGAGTCTTTTATGCCGGGATTTTTGAATCCGGCATGTCCCTTGTCGCATATATTTCGGGATGCGCGCGAACACATTCTATCAATAACGTGTCATTGATTGACATCTTCTATTGCTATAACGCTTCGAATGCGCAACATAAGTCAAATGTCAAATTCTTGAACTCGAGTGTAGCAAACATAAGAAAAAACAATAAAAAGTTACATTGAAATATTTTCAATGTAATTTTAAATAGAATAAATAAAATAATTTAATAATTAATAATTATAAATAATTATAATTAAAATAATAATATAATAATATATAATAATATAATAATAATAATATTAATATTATTTTTATTTTTAATATTATTATTATTATTATAACACGACGCAAGGCTTGTGACTGGCAAAGCTTGACATCGCGTTAAGTTCTAATACTTCACGTTGCATTACGTAAAGTCGATCGTAATTAGCCGCATATAAAACAATGTGTTTTAGGTTTTACGTAACTTTACATCTCGTCGCGTTCCGTTACGTTAAGTTCATTATAAACCCGTTTTAAGTATTATATATAACGTTTGACTAGATAGACATTCACATGTTTTATGAACGTTAAGGTTCGAACGTTCCTGAAACGCTTATATGTATAACGTTATGGGTGGTGGGAAAGCGCTTCAAGTAATTAACTGTCATATTTTTTTCACGAAATATCTGACAAAAAATATTTGCATCTTTTATTTTTACTATTTTATATATCCAAAATCTATCAAAGTCAATGAAATAATTCCGTCTTTTTCTTGTCAATAGTGTTTATTGTTATCTAAATAAAATTATATAAATTATTATCTAGATGAAACTTTAGCGTCATCTTATCTTTATATAAATAATGAAAATATGTATATCTGTGTCTGCATCTTAGATGAAAAAAAATATTATCTTTACTAAATTATCTAGAATAATTTTCAGATAATTTTGGTTTAGAATCATAGCACATAAAAATACTGAAATAATAGAACTTAAGTAGTAAGCGAAAAAATTTATAAATAACAATATGAATACATATATTTTTATATTCTTTTTCTAATTTTTTTTTATAATTGTGTTTACATAAGCAATCTTAAAAATAATATTATCTTAAAATTATTTAGATGAATTGCCATATAATTTTATTTTTTATCTAGATATATTTATTAAAACAAAATCATCTTTATCTTATATCTAAGATAAGATGATTTTGATATTTTTATTTCATCTTTATCTAGCTAATTTTAAGATCATCTAAGCACAACACTGCTTGTCAATAAAGTTTATGAAAGAGTCGTATAATATAAGAGATATTAGAATTACACACATATATAATACACATTCCAACTAGCTGTAATATGGTATGATTGTGCAATATTGTGAGTGAACTCACGTGATAAGGGGAGATCATAACATGCCGGATCATCTGGAAGCTTCATGAAGGGGCTCAGACGGCCACGAATACAAAGCACAGAGAGAGAAGAAGCATGGCAGAAGAGACTCCAGCCAGTGCTGGTGACAATGGGGCTGATGCTGCACCTGCGACCATACAATCATTCACACACGCAATCCTATCATTCTCTCACCTTGTACATACGTCTACATTTACTACTACTTACCTAGAGAAAATTACAACGCTCTGTTATTAGCTCCGAAACACTATGTTAATATTTAAAAATTGTGATTATTATCCCGATATATCTCATATTTATAAAACGCGGAAATCAAATGTAATTAAAGAGTTTTGCTGATTATGGATGTATCAAGAAATAAATTAGATAGACCAAAAAGTTGTAGATTATAGAGATCTTATGTTTTCTTTATATGAAGCATTAATATCTTCTGATAAAAACAAGTGTAAAAAATGTACAAAATATTAATTACTGGATGTAAATATTATAATTATTTCCATGTTTAGTTGCGTCGTATAATAAAAATTTGTGTAATAACATCGACAAAAGATAAATTATTTTTATTTAGAAAAATAATAAATATATTAATAAAGTAAGGAAACATATCAAATATCTTGATTAATTCTAAATGTACTTATATTATACATAATCGACACACTTTTTTTTTAATAATTATTTTAATAAAAACGTTGAAAAAGTGGAAATATATAAATTGATTTAGATTAACATACAAAATGTGTACCTCTTTATTGTAAAGAAAATAAACATAATTTTTATTTATAATAAATGTAAGAATTTATAAGCGATAAATTATTATTAGGTTTTAAAGCTTTTAAATATTTGACATATTTTTCTCTATTTTATCAATTTTTTTATTCAACTTTTTTACATGTCAAACAAAAAATACTTTATTTGTCAATATTACCATAACAATTTTCACTATACGAAGTAAATAAAGATGAAAAAAAATTTATTTGACAACTGACGTATGCCGTAATATCTCTAATGTAGAAATAGATTCTCTATAGAAGCACAATAATTCTTTTTATGAAATATCTATAAAAATAATTTTTCCTTAACAAAAATATTATATATTTGTTTAGTAATCTTGACATTATGAAAAGAACCCAGAATATTAAATGTGACTTTTAATGTTTGTGATTTCACCACGTCTGAGAGCGCAAAATTGCTTTTGTAATTCATGAAACGTTAATCGCTAATAATTTAAAAACTATTATATAATTCGACATTTTGTATTAAAATGTTGTTTCAGAATCTAAAGAATTCACCTTCAAAAATTACAGAAATTTTTAAGATATCCTATTTATAATTTTATTGTTAATTTATATATAATGTTTTAATTTTAAAATTTTTTGTATTTAAAAATATTTGCATACTATTATAACGTGTGTTCCGATATATTTTATTTATTAATAAAAAAGAAAATGTTAAACAGTTTGTTTTATATTAGGTAATCACATTTTTATTTCTGAATATGATAGAGGGAGAGAGAAAGAGAGAGAGAGAGAGAGAGAGAGAGAGAGAGAGAGAGAGAAGAGAGAGGAGAGAGAGAGAGAGAGAGAAGAGAGAGAGAAGAGAAAAAAGATGAAGGAAAAGGAGAAAAGAGGAAAAAAAGAAAAAAAGGAAATGAAAAGAGAATAGAAGGGAAAAAGAAAAATGATAGGGAGAAGAATGAAAGATGGGAAGGTAAACTAAAAAGGGATAAGAAAGGAGAAGAGAAGAGTCGAAAGAAGAAGAAAAGGAAAAAAAGAATGCTAAAGGGAAGGAAGGGAGAGTATCTGAACAATTAATTGGAGATGTACGTTGTTTTATTTGATTAATCCGAATTGTCATATCCGAAAGGTTCATGCTGATTTTAGTGCTCTTAATTTATTTAGTGATTTAAATGAATAATCAAACTAACAATGCTGATATGAAGGATCAATCTGAAAAGGTGTTACGATACACAAAGACAATACACTTCGAAATCTTTGTAGAACATGTCTATTGAATAGTCCAGAGGAGATTACACTGAATATTAGTAGAGTATAGTTCACGTATAGAAAGAAAAAGGAGAAGAGAGTATAAGTCGTAATGAAAGCAAAAAGATAAACATTGAATCACACCGCTTATTGAAATGCTTCTGTTAACACAGGTTGTGTTCTAACGTTAGCGAAACTTACAATTCTCTTCGTCCGACGTATCGTCCGGCCCGCAATTATCAATGTTATTGCATCGTAGCGATTCGTCGATGCAATATTTACTTTGCTGCATAGAAATTGACCTTGACACTCTGTATCCGTGTTTACTTCGGTCCACACTGCTCGAAAGCCTTGTTGTCCTACCGCTTTATCGGCCGATATAAAACTATAATGCAAAAATATATATATATATATATATATATATATATATATATATATATAGTATAAAGCTTTGAAAAAGCTTTTCTTACTCATTTGAGCCGTACCTAAGCCGCATATTATTATCCTCCGAAAGATAACTCCATTTTGTATCGGAACTTTTAACGCCACAGAGCTCGTACGGAGTCGATGTCAATGAATACCACATACGTAACACGGCTGCGGGGCAACCTCGTGCTGAAAATTATTAATAAAATGCCAATAAATTAATAGTTTCTAATGTGATTTGTCTATAATGTAAAAATTAATATATGTAAAACTTATAATATAAAAAATCTTTATTGTGAATTTATTATAATATAAGAAAAGTAGAAAAAAGTATAAGAAAAAAGAGAGAAAGAGAAAAAGAGAAACAGAATGGGAAGGGGGGGGGGAGAGAGAGAGAGAGAGAAGGAAAGATAAAAAGGGTGACAGAGAGAGTACTCTTAAATCAAGTATATCGTTATTTCTTATTTAATTAAGCGTTGCATTTTAGCAAAGCTGATACTTATTGCTAGTCAATTCAATTATAATCTACTTAAACCCATAATCTATGTTTAATTATATTCAATGGTATTTTTATTTATTAAATCGGTTAATATTGCGGCCTTATAATTAAAAATATTTCATTTTGAAAAATTAAAAATAAAATTTTTTTTAAATTTTGATGATTTTCATAAATAAGATAAAATATATTATAAATTTCAAACCTAAAATTATTGAATGTAACAATACAAAAGTAATATATTAAATATAAATAATGTTAATATATGAAATTTAAGTAATTACTAGATTTAGATATAAATAATTTTATTTTTTATAAATTTTTCTAATTTTTAATTCTTCTTTTATAGATAAATATATCAATTATTGTAATCCATTTCTCTCAGTAAAGTTTTTCTATTAAAAAAATGTTAAAAAATTGGAATACTATTATTAAAATTATAAAATATTGTCTAATAGAAAACAGTCTATGGGTCTACATTTATTTTATCTTAAATTTTTAGAGCCAAAAACACATAATATATCAATTTTAAATACCTTTCGTTAAAATTTTCACAAAAATTAGTGTTATTAATATATATCAAATTAATATATATCAAATTTTCACAAAAAGAAGTGTTATTAATATATATCAAATTAATTAATTTTATTCATTAATTAATTATAATAATAAATTTATATATTACCTAATTGATCACCTTCCACAGAAAAAATCTCAAAATTCAAGAGTATTTGTTGATTCGGTCGAACTCTTATAAACCAGTTGCAAGTTTTGCTAGCTAGGTTTCTCGCCGGACCGTCATACTTATTCGGAAAATTCGGACTGGTTATTATACCATAATTTAAACTACTATATTTGATCCACAATCTACGACATAATAATTCAGTAAAATTAAAATTACAAATGACAAATGAGCAGATTTTTCGAAATTAAATTTCTAATTATTATCCAAACCGCGTACGTAACTAAATTATTTCAAATCTCTTTTAAATAAAATTTTTTTTAGATTAATATATAAGAGATAATATATAATATATAATATATGAGAGATTAAAATTAAAATTCAAGATATAATATTAAGATTAAAATAATAATTTTTTTTTTAGTTATTTGTTCTTTAACTAAAAAATAATAAAGTGTGCGTTCGTACCTCCGAAAATAGGTTTAGCGATCTCGAAAGTGTAACGCGCTTTGAAGCCACTGTAAACAAGTTCTGAATCGGAATGTAAAATCACTTTTAACCCTCTTGCACCGAGATTCGATTCTACCGGACCTGGCGCAGTTGCACCACAATACCTTCCTATCAATTTCTCTGTTTCGTCCCGATACATGTTGTAAATTTCAAGCCAATCTTCCTGACATAATTCATGTCTATAAATAAATATCGGATAATATATTGATCCGACTCGGATGCGCCGCTAATAACGTGATTCACTTACCCGTAATGTCCGACCGTCACGTTGACATTTTTCGTACGAACCTTAAAATGATCAAAGATCAAGGTAACCTGCTCGTTCGGCGTTGCCAAGAAAAAGTATGTGCAATTCGTATCGCTCGGATAATTACTAGGATATCGTGGAGAATTAAATTCACCACGTTTGCGAGATAAACTGTAATAAGTGAAGGTACAGCTGCCGTCGGGCGACGCAGTACCCGGTATCTTATATTCCGTTTCAAAGGTGTACCTGTGCGGCAACACAATCATTATTACACCAATGATAATTATATTCACCGCATTTGTCCTTTATTACTTGTCTATTACACTGATCAACATTGATTTTATTGTCAATTATTTATTAGATCGATTTAGAGTAACTTTGTGTCGCTGATTTTGAGATAATGAGTTTGTTCGTTTTTTAGCTGCACTGCTGCACTGGTGCAATAAATGTATATTTTTTGACTCTAACTCTATTGCACTAGTGCAGCTAAAAACGAACAAACCCAATAATAGATCTGTTCCTTTTGGCTAAGTTGATTGCACTAGTTCAGAGTTTATCTTTTTTATTCCACTAAACAATACAAGCGCGCGCTTTGCGCGCGCCATTAATTTTTATACTTTGATTTAATATTATTTAGAACAACTGTCAAACTATTAACTTTCGCAATGACAGCTGTTTAATATGAATATAACACACTATGCGAATCGAGACAACCAATCAGCAACGCGGAAAAGCGGCAACAATACATGCGAGAATCGACTTTACATACAAAAGGAATTTTGGAAGGAAAAAAATAAACTCTGAAGTACAGCCAGTTCAGCTAAAAAAAAACAAATTGAATGGGTGCTCCGTAAAAAACATAAAAAGTGCAAAAAATATAATGGTCAGCCGTAATCTATACCTAACCTATACCCAAATCATATGGAAACTGTTTGAAATCATACAAATGTATATAAAAGTGAACTAATTCAAATAATCACAATTAATGCACAGAAAAATGCTGTTTGTACAATTTTCTTTATGTGGGTCATCAGGATCACGTTAAAAAATAAAAATAATGTTAAAGGATAAAAAGACAGAGCAAACCCTGCTGCATATGTCAGCAGTTACAGATCGTACTTGGGATAAAATCATAATTTGAGTATCTATTATCTCAAAAACTAGAGCTAATTCATCAAAACTGTTGTTATTTTTGGATTTAATATCCCCAAAATACCTTAAATTGGTTCAAATATCCTTGACAACTAAATAAAAGTTTTTTCTGTTGATCAGTGTTATTATTCTAGCATTCTCTCTTTTGTATGCTATATGTTATATATTAATAAATCATATAGCTCACACTCACTTAGCTTTAAAACCTTGCGCCTGCAATTCCCCACTGCTGAACACCATCACAAGTCTCGGTCCATCGCTAACTACGGTGCTTGGATTGCTCTTGTTACCGCACATCTCGTAATCGAATTTGTCATAAGAATCTGTCGCTTCCTGGCCCTTCAGATACAATTTCAAATAACCGTCGGTGCACGCCGTTCTAAACAAATCCAAAAGACACAAACCATTGTTATACCAACTACATACCATTATTCTGGCACTTTAATGCTGCATGTACTTACTCTCCTTTGGCCATCTGTATGGCGAATTTTTCGAATTCTAATCGTACGCGTTCCAAGTGCTGCGCGTCTTGCATGCCGTAGATAAAATAACGGCAGACGACTTTAGGTATATAAGGATATGGAAAATTTGGACTAACTACAACCCCCGATGTTTCCTTCTTACTGAGGATCTTCTGATCACACTCAGATCCACGGATATGCTCGCCGTGATATTCCGTTATAAAGTCTATATAAGACAAAAAAGAATAAGAATCATTTAACGAGACATATTTTGATGAACGGTGCGTTTTCAAATCATCATTGTCTTACCCAGGCTGACAAAACTCTCCGAGAACTCGAAGATGCCTTTAAAACCTCGATTTGAGTATTTGCTGTGCGCTTCAATGTGGCAAACAGCACGAACAATCTATTCTCCGAAGAGTACAATACTAAATTTCGTTGCTGACCACAATACGTACCAATGACGGCACTCGAATTATCGAGACCATCATATACCTTTACGTAATCCAATGGGCAGCTATGGAGTAAATCCCAATTTTTAATTAAACGGGTAGTATTCAATTATACACGTCTATTCCAATTAAACACAGAACTCTGATAGATTAATCATACTTGTAGGTCGATATAAACAGTTGTGGCCAAATAAATTATCTGCTAAATTAAGTCTCCTGGATCCTTGCTTTGGTCATATTAAATTGTGACGTCAGAGGCAAAAAACGTATTGACAATTCTTAGATGCCATTTTTTAATGAAGATATTTCGATAAAACACTACTCCAAATAGCTTTAGAGGACACTCTTAAAAACTACCTTGAAAACTATTCTTTTTCCATGATCGTGATTTTAGACTTTGTCATGCGACGAACTGGGTCTCATATTACAGTCATTTTATAGCTGTTGATAAAGGAAAAAGAATAATTTTCAAGGTATTTTAAAACTGCTAAAGCCGCCTGAAGTGTTGTTTCATCAAAATATCTTTTTATTTTAAAATAACATCTAAGAATTTTTGGCGTGTGTTTTCTCGTCTCTGACGTCACAATTCCAATATAATTGATGAGGAGCCAGGAGCTTTAAGTCATTATCACTATAAATAGCAATGATAATAAAAATTAATAATTGAAAAATGTGAAATACATCTGATCAAGTATAAAAAGAAAATAAACAATTAAAAAAATAACGCAAAAATTTGTTCTATAAGAAATAATAAATATATAAATTTTCTTCAGTATTTGCACATTACTGAAATATTAATCTCTCTTTTTTTTAGTTTTTAAAAAATTAATTTCTTATATAAGAATTTTAAAGATCTGAAAAAATTCATGTAATCTGAGATGTACGTACTGTGGTCCGCCAAAAAATAAATCGAAGTCGCGAAATTCCAACCGCACACGTTGGCCAGGCTTCCCGATAAACTCATATTTACAAACAAGATTTTTCGGATAAGTGCCAGGATAAGTAGGAGATAGTATATTTCCGGTACGTTTAGCCTCCGCGCGTATCGTGAAAGAGCATGGTGTATTCGGCAATGGAGTGCCTACTTCATACTCAGCTGCAAATGTGTTACATTAATTATCGATAATTATTACAACTTATTTTTTAAATAAGCATATGTATGTCATCAATGAAACGTTTTAAAATCAATATCGAATAAGACTTACAAGCGTTGAGAAATCTGTAAATACCGCCAAAAACGTGCGGTAGAGTGACATTCTTATCAGTAAAGAAACTAAGAGCAATTCCCTGATAAAGAGAGACCCGTCTGCGAGGTGGAATAGGTCCGCAAAATCGTCCGCCGAATGGCGTTTCTATCAGTTTCGTCGTGTTCTCTGATCGTATCTCGGAGTATATGTCCATATACTCATGAATACAGCTGAAAAAAATATTCCGCGTAATTTTTATTTTCCTTTCTTCCCGCTTTCTCTATACCTTTAATAGCACAACATATCTGAAAAATATTCAGAGGATATCTAGAGGACATTCGAACATCCTCAGGATGTTTTCTGAACGTCTTCGGGATATGTGTGCTGTTAGGGACATATATATTTAAATTTAAATATGAATTTATTTGTCAATAAAAGATAAATAAATCATACTTATTCTAAAATCTGTGACACACAAGCCGATTTTTCGTGCTAGATCGCATACAAAAAATTTAGTAAATTATTTACTGAGAAGAGTTGTTTTTTATGAAAAAAAAACATTAAATTATTATTTTTAATAAAAATATTTATTTATCTTTATATAAGAAAAGTATAAAATTTTAATAAATAAGTATATTACACAATCAGAGTGAGAGTATATTATTCTATACTTTTACACAATTTTATTCAAATATCTTTTTACACTTTTAGAAAATACATACATATGTAATAAAGATGAAGAATTTTAGTTTTTCTTTAATATAAAAATATATTTAAATAAATATTTCAGAATCAAAATAAAAAATATTGAAAAATTAATTGTTAATCGTCAGTGATAATTAAAAAATTAAGGTTAATATTTGTTTCGACCAAAATTGACTTAAATTTCAAATGTTTCTTTATTAATCATAAACACAATGTTTGATATTCAGTCAGGTACTATTTTATACCATCAAACGATTTATTAATAACACTTAATAAGGACCAAAATTCAATGGTCGAAACGTTGTATTTATAATTAATAAAAAAAATTTAGAATTTAAGCCAGTTTTGGTCGAAATAAATATTAATCTTTAAAAAATATTTATGAATACAAAATTTAATTGACAAAGAGACACGCGGATAATATAAATTCTTATTACACTGTATAAATTAATAAAATTATTTCAAAATTAAAGAAAATATTTTTATATATAAAAATTACACTACATTTGATTGTACAGAGATCCACATAAACCTCAACAAACTTAATAATCAAAATTACCTATTTGGCCAATTATAAAAAAATTTATATAATGTCGATATCGCTGAGTAGACACTAAAATGGTACATAATACAAATTTTTCCACATTTATAATAGAAAAGAAGGCAACTTTGAAACTTTAAATGGAACTCTATATAAATAATTATATTTTTTATTCTACGAAAAACAAAATAAAATAACTTTTTACCCGGAACATTGTTTTCTGCTTGTATCAAAAAAATACAATTAACATAAAATTGTTTCAAGTTTTGCTTTCATAGACACTTTCTCTTCTTAATTCCTTGTTCTAACATTACAAATCCAAAAATATAACTTTTTATAGAGAAAAGAGATTTTCATTTAAAATTACTCCTCCCCACTCTTTATAAACGGAATTTTATAAAAAAATTTGAATGTATCGCTATTTTCCTATAAATTTCATTATAATCGATCAAGGAGATTTCTCGAGTTATAAGCTTGTTGAAATTTATATAAAATATAACACTCTGTATATGAATTCATCAAATTATAATTTTTTCTTATTGCGTTTATTTTTTCATACTGAATGTTTTGCTACAAATTTTATATATATGATTTTTTAATATAAGTAAAGGTATTAGAATTCATCGAATAGTTTTTTTTAATAAAGACATTTTTTGTATTAAGATATTCTTTTTTTTAATATGCTGCTTATATATATATATAGTACATTTCTAAAAAAAATTACTAGCTCGTTCATATGTATAACCTAGGACGAAGAATTATACAGTATGCCACAAGAATTTTAATCTTACAATTAGTGTAACTTCTCATAAGTTTATTAACACTTACGCAGGTAATTCTCCCACAGCAGATCCACTATATCGAGAAAAGTTTTATACATGTAAATAATACATAATTAGACAATTATATATTACATAGACTGCTCCAATATACTCAATATATAATGTCAATTTCCGTGTTATCTCTGCGATGTTAAGACTTAAATCTTCAGTAAAAAATGAATATATTTTTTTATATTTTTTTTAAATAACGTACTTGTTTTATACTCGACTATGAAAATTTTCATCAAAAAATAATCAGGAAAAATGTATAAGACTCGACTCGATGCTGTATCAGAATTGAAGAAAATATTTCCATTATCCTGGTCAACACTGATTTTATTATCAATTATATTAGATCGAGTTTAGGGTAACTTTGTATCATTGATTCCAAATATGGCATTGATTTTCCTAGGTTGGTTTTAATTTTTGAGATAATGTGTTTCATAAAAAATATAAAAAATACAATTGTCGTAGCTTATCCCCAAATCATGGAAACTATCTCAAATCATGTATATATAAAATACATAACGGCGTTGTATTCAATAAAATGACATAAAAACAAAGTAAACTTATTCAGATAATCACAATTAATGCATAAAAAAATGCTGTTTGATTTTCTTTTATGTGGGTAATCAGTATCACATTGGAGATAGAAACAATGTTAAAGAGTAAAAAAACAGACTAAACTCTATACTCTTTTTATTGAAATAAAATTATGCGGATATTTCCATTAGTCTCAAAAACTAAAGCCAATTCAGCAAAATTGTTGTCATTTTTTAATTCAGCATCTCCAAAATTACCAAAATTATAAAAACTATACATTCGCTCAAATATCCTTAGTAACTAAACAAAAGTTTTATTTTATTGATCAGTATAGATTACAGAAAGAATAGCAAACCATGTTATTAATCCCCATGGATGATAATAAACAAATGGCAAGTTCTAATGCATCAGATGCGATTGCGAAACAAATAATCGCGGAATGATGCAACAAACTTATTGTCTCTCATTTTTGGATTCAGCATCCCCAAAATTACCTAAACTATAAAAACTCTACATTCGCTCAAACATCCTTGCGGAAACTATAAACAAAAGTTTAATTTTGTTGATCAGTATAGATTACAGAAAGAATAGCAAATAATATTATCCATCCCCATGGATAATAATAACACAGAAAAAATTAGCTACCATAGCTAAAATTTAGCTGTCTATATTATATTACACATGAAATTTAGTTATCATGCCTAAATTTTAGCTATGACAACTAATATTTTTTAGCTATAACATTCTCCGTTAAACTATGGCTAAAAAATATTAGTTATCATTTAGGCATAATAACTAAATTTCAGGTTGTAATATATGGACAGCTAAAATGGCATCTAATTCTTTTTTTCCGTGAAACAAATCGCAAGTTCCAACGCATCAGATGCGATCGCGAAACAAATAATGAATGATGCTAAGTGATCTCTTCAGTTCTACCGCTAGATGGCATAAATAGTAGAAACTCACTCTGGTGGTTTTCCTCGGAGGCCGAATGAGGTGAAAATCAATTCGACACGCTGACGCGGTCCTGCGAGGAACGTGTAAACGCACTGTCGTGGATCCCCTTCAGGATTGATCAGCGTTGGTGCATAAAAGGTCCCATTCAGCTGCCCCTCAGGAGTGCTTACAAACTTTTGATCGCACTCTATAGGAAATGAGATAAAATCGCGACTTGCGTTTAAGTCAAATTATCGAACTTTCGAAAAAAATTTTCGGCATAATTTTCTACAATTAAAGGGATCCCTCAGTAAACAATAACAAACTCCAACAAAATAGTAACGCCCTCAATTTGGAATTAAAAATATCGGTAATTACCGACTGATTTTCGAAGAATAATTATTGATATTTTGAATTTCACATTATAAATCATCCAGATCAAACATGTATTAGAAATCTATGTATACATACTAATATGGCACATATGGAGTCACTTTTTGCTACGTTTAATACTATTATAGGTTTGAACGTAAATATGTATTGCTGTTTTTTGCTCTATTATACCTACAACGCACGCACACATACGTACAAATAGTAATACAAACTATATACTTTTATATTAGACTTCTAATCTAGATTAAGAGGGTAACAATTCTTTTTTTCATGTATCTTAATCCCAGAGATCTTGTGTTTATATTCATATAATAGTATATTAGCTAACAAGTGCGGGGGATCGTAAATCGGCCGAGTGTGACAATCCGCGCGATCGGTCAATTTATGACCCGCGTATGTTGGCTACAATATTTTGTGTGACCGGTGCGTAGAAAGAGAGCCCTTTCTAAAATCTCATCATGTGCGGAAAGGGCGACTTTTCGTGCGCCGGTTGCACAAAGTATATAAAGCATGATGAATTGACAGCTCGTCTGTCATTCGAGACATCATATCGAAATAAAAGTTGGGAAAACTGTAAGGAAAAGTAAGGAAAACTGTAATATTGTAATTATTTCTCATTTTTCATATATGAAATCGAACTTCCTTAGGATCATTGATGTATGTATTATAATCGTAGAGAAGCATTTTTAATTCTATCAAATTAATGCGACAAAAGACTAAAAGTACGAAAATAATAATTGGTCGATAAAACAGACAATCGTGAAGGATCCCCTTAACAAGTATAGTAAAGAAGATACTAAAAGAACGTACTTGGTGTTCTGGCAGTGGTGACACCTCCCGGTGGAGGTGGTAGTGATGCAACATAGTCTTGTTGTGGCAGTGGTGTCTCAATTATCTCGCGGGCTGAATTGAGGGATGATGTGAAGATACAAAGTACCCCGCAACAAAGTATCCACCGCCACCGGGAACACACCACACCATATTATAATTGTGACAATAATCGTGATATAAAGCTGATAAGAGTATACAACTATGCATATATTATGCGCACAGTAAGCATTTTTAATAACATTCCAATTTTATATGCATAATAATCTGCTTTAAGCATATTACAAAAATAATTGTTTAAATTGCGTTAAAAAATATATAAAAAATATATTTAAAATATATATAAATATATATATATATATATATATATATAAATATATGTTATTATATATATGTTATTATATATATATAATTATGCCAATAAAAATAAAATTAAATTAGAAAATTTGATCAAAGTAACTGTTTTTACACACATTTTTATATGTATTTGAGATTACATCATATTTTGAAGATAATATGCAAAATTAAATGGTAAAGTTTGTTAACATATTTTCTGTTATTAAAATAACTAAATACAATTTCATAATTTTAAATTATAAGTTTTAATTCTTATACTATAATATTTTAGTAATAATTTATGATCATAAATTTTAACCAATTTAGATATTTTATTCCTAATTAACAAAATATTTCAAAATTTTATTAATACAATTAATTTATTTTATAAAATAACAGGTTATAGCAGTTTTAATTCACGGAGATGAAAACTAATCAATTGTGATTTTGAAACATACATAAAGAGCAGGAAAAGTAAAAAAATTTTCTAATAAAAAACATTTTGATAAATTTATATAATTATTATTTGATAATTTTATACGGTTTAAGACTAATTTAGATATCCTTTTATCATTTAATAAATATTTATTTTAAAAAATCAATTAATACAAAGTTTCGATCGTATATTGTAAATACAACTAGTGATAGATAAAGAGGCCAACTTATCGAGCAATTATTAGAGTTGTTTTGTCAAATAAAATTTATTCCATGTATAAACTAAACATAAAACATTATGTGAAAGCTACAAACATTCTATACTCAAATTTAAGCAAAAATTACAATCATTATAAAATAAACGTTTCAACCGCACGCGGTCTTCTTCAGTATTATATTACAGTAATTATTAAAAAATACAAATTCATACAAAAATTCCACATAATATCGGAAATTAATGTTAGTTCTTCAATAAGAGTCGAGAATTTATAAGCAATTAAAGCGTGTCCTCCGTCATATCCAACAAATGTTCGCCTCGATATGATCTTTGATTTTAATCAAATCTCGAAAAGTTTCATCGTTAATATGTGAAAAAATAATACATTCCGTAGGCGCTGCGATTAATAAAAAATTGACGATTAACGTATGTCAAAAATTAAAATATATATCCTTAACAATTAGCAATATGCTTACTTGACATCGTCCTTCTTGACAATTTTAACCACGTTTTTTTGAAAAAGTTACTGAAGATGACACAAGACAAGACCAACAATATAAAAAGACACCTTATTTCAAACTCTATTTAATCGAAGAATGTGCGTGTTTATATATGATCTAATACCTATGTTTAAACCGTTAATGTCCTATTTGTCTTATTATTTATTGTTCGCTAATTTATCCAAAATATCAAAATAAGACTCGCTGAGTAATTCAGTATCTTTGTTTAAATTTAGCCTATTTTTTTGTTTTTTAATATGTAGCATTTCAAAGATGAGTCTTTTATAATAATTATTTTCGTTGTTCAGAATCTTTACGTTATCCCAATTAAATGTATGGTGTTCATTTCTTATGTGTTCAGAAATTACTGAATATTTCGTTGAGTCCAACCTGATATTATTTTTATGTTCTTTTAGTCTCGTCTGTAATTGCCTCCTCGTTTGGCCTACATAAGATGCATTATAATTATTGCAATTGATCTTATAAACAACATTCGAATTGCATGGATGTTTAATTTTATCTTTCTGTGCTTTAATAATTTTATCAAGTTTGTTGAGACATCTGTATCCTCCTATACACTCTGTATTTTTTACCGAGGAGACAATCATTTCTGAGATCCTATTTATATACGGAATAACAAAAAATTTTTTATTAACTGATTCCTTTTCTATAATTTCTGTTCCTTCTATGTTGGCTTGTCTGTTTATAATGCTTTTTAGATATGAGATGTTCTATCCGATGATTAATTTTGTAACCATTGCTTGTGAGTATATTAATGATTAACTCCAAATTTTTATTAAAAAATTGTGGGTGTGATAACAACAAACATCTGTCCACAAGGTTGTATATTATTCCAATTTTATGGCATAATGGGTGGTTAGAAAAAAATGATAAAGTCCTTCTTGAGAAGGTTTCTTTTTGATACTAATCAATGTATATTATATTATTAATAATTTTTAGTGATAAATCTAAGAAATTCAAGCTACAGTTAACCTCTTGTTCTACCGTGAATTTAAGTCTATCATGATAGTTATTAAAATTATTAACTATCTGAGTCATATTAATCATAGAAGTGGCTAATATTATATCATCTACATAACGGAAGTAAAACAAACATTTTAAATTTAACGCTTTAATAACTGTATCCTCAAGATCTTGCATAATCAAGTCAGCTGTAATTGGTGATAACGGAGACCCCATAGGAGTCCCAAAAGTCTGTTTGTAAATTATGTCATTAAATGTAAAATATAAGTAGAAGTCAATATGAATTGAATACCACATATAAATTCGCTTTTCGGTATTCTAGTATTTGTTTCAATGTGATCCCATCTATCATTAATCCCATTAATCGCAAGATCTAGAGATACGTTTGTAAATAAAGAAACATCTAAAGAAAACATCTTATCGTTCTCATCAATCTTTTTACCAGACAACATGCTGTACAAATCAAAACTATTATTGATATGACTTTTAGCTTTAGGTAGGCTAGTTTGTAAGATGTTTTGCAAAAACGAAGCCAGATTTCAATGTTCATCGTATTTGTTTTGAATTTGTACAACATGTTCTCTAGTCTTTTGATCGATCTGTGATGAAAAACATTAAATTTTATGTGGCAAAATCTTTCTAAATGTGTAGGAAAAATATTGCTATTTTTACAAGTTCTTAAAAATCGCAATTTTGCTCTCACTCTTATTAACAAGTAATTACTGTAATATAATACTGAGGAAGACCGCGTGCGATTGAAACGTTTATTTTATAATGATTGTAGTTTTTGCTTAAGTTTGAGTATAGAATGTTTGTAGCTTTCACATGTTTTATGTTTAGTTTATACATGGAATAAATTTTATTTGACAGAACAACTCTAATAATTGCTCGATAAGTTAGCCTTTTTATCTATCACTAGTTGTATTTATTTTAAAAAATGATAAATATTGATATGTATATATATTTAAAAATGGCAATTGAGATAAATAACATGATTAGTTTCAACAACTTTTCGTAAATCTTGTAAAAAGCAATATCCCAAAATCTCAAATGAAAATATCTATGTGTCTTATGATATTCGCAGAATATACACGACATATATGAGAAATCTCAAAGTAATTAAAATTATTTATGCTAGAAAAAAGTCGACATCACCAACCCTAATAACACAACATATCCGAAAGATATTCAGAAAATATCCAGATGACATTCGAACATCCTCAAGATGTTCTCTGAACGGCTTCGGGATATGTGTGCTGTTAGAGAACTACTGTAGATATACATTGTGTCAACTTTTATGAAGCAATACTAAAGTAATACTAAAATAGTTTATAATTATACCATGCGTACTAACCTGAGGAGTCATGTGGGCAGAACAGTAAGAGTAACACGAAGACTGACGAAAGAAAATTATTCCCAGAAGTATACCAAAGTACTGAAGCCATATTGTACCCTGGGAATAATCGTCATATATCATATTTATCGATCATCATTTATATTTTGATGGATTTGTGTATTATAATTCTTAAATGTATGTGATTTAAGTAATAGCATTTTGTCGTGTTTACCATATCTGTTAGTATCTGTTCCGGGCACAGAAAAAGCGAAAAAATTTAATCCAGAAGATCATCTGCAATATATGATTTCATAGTTTTAATTATCGCAAATACATATATATATATATAGGTATATATATATATTTTTTGTAAATATATAATTTCTTTAATCGATCGATGATATTATTGTATTGTATTTTATCATGCGCGTTATCAAATAATATATCATATAAATAATGTACTATATTTATTTAAAACACAAAAATTGTGCAACAGTTAATTTTTTATAGCAATAAACATATAAAATTATCGGTTTAAACGATTATAATTTTCAAGATTTGGTACAAGATATACATAAAATATATACATATTACATATTATATTAATAAAATAATTGCTTAATCAATAAATGTCAATCTAAATTACAACATGTGATACTATAATCTTAAATGTATTCACACGATCACTATATCGTTTAAAAAAATTAATCATAGTCATATGACAAGGATAGAGAATGTATCGCTGTGAAGAGCCAAATATAATACTTAGCAATTCGCTAAGACGAGGAATAACCTCTAAATTGAGATTTAAATTCCTTTTCCCTTTACCCACCTAAAATTGATGTAGACAAGATAAATATATCGGTCTGAAAAAGTTAGCTGAATCGGGAATCGAACCCGAGACCTTCTTTATAGTCATATGATTCATAATCGCTACTGAAATTTGCTTTCGTTTGAACGTATATTCATCATAAAATAAAAAAAATTGCTTGTTAAGGAGGGTGGTTGCTGTCATTGCGGGGCAGGCGACAAGAGGGAAAATCTCGTGTCTGTTCGCGTTGCTTGCACTTTTTGTACTTTCAATCCTTTGTCTTTTTCTCTCCAATGTCCAATGTATATTTATCTCTCTTTAAAGTGCAGAAAGTGCAAAAGCCATGTTTTTACACGGGCGTTTGTAACAGCTACAAACTCCAAATAATCAAATTTTTGTCGTGTAAAATAAATGAGTTTTAAAATAAAAGATTCTTCATTTCGACATCTTTGATTTCGCTGCGCGATTTCCTTTCCAAAAACAAGAATCGAATCACCGACCGATATTGCTCTTTTTCCATTTTTCTAAAATCCGCGGACATGCCCGCTTCCACACGCGGTCAAAACAAAACTACGAGTCCGATTATAATTTTCGGCTGAAATTTTGACAGTAGCCGTCTACGAGAATGTACTACACGATAGTAAAACTCTCTTGCGATACTGGCACCATCGGGCGATGAGGCTAAGTACTTATCGGACTGCCCTCGTATTGTAATTAATTGGCTATGTTCGTATTATATGTATTTAAATTTCAGAAATATAATATATGTGTTGTGTGTGTGTGTACAGGATGAAGAAAAAGTATCGCTCAAATATCTCGGAAGGAGTGAAATATAGAAAGAAATATTAAATAAAAAAATAGTAAGATTCAAAATGAGCCGCTTAATGGACATTGGCCTTGATCTAAAGATCAAATTTAAAAAGGTTATTTTAAGGTCATCTTTACTATTTTAAATAGAACTACCATTTTTTGCATTAATCGATTCCTCACAATATCTTGCAAAAAGTTACAAGGATAGAATGTAAAAAGTTACAAGGATAGGATAGTTAAAAAGTAATTAATTTATTAAATATTGTATACTTTAATTTAATATTGTTAGCGTATTATAATAACTGCTTACATTATAAGTAGTGACACGGATACTGTTCTGTTGTAACCAAGAAGACTAGAGACCAGGAGACCGAACTCCAGTGGTGGGGGTGAGTCAAAATATGGTCTCATTTTATGGGCGCTGTTCGCAATATGGTCGTCGGCTAATTCATGAACTACGACGTGCTGGACTTTGCTTGTTTTATCAAAAAAAGGTTTCCTATGTGAACTTTGTCGTTCGTAAGTATCATATATTATTTATTAATACTTACGACATCAAAATTTACATTCTGACAAGATGCCAAGCTTATGTTCTTGGTTATATTGCATGAAACTTTGAAGTCCAGCACGCCATAGTTCATGAATTGGCCGGCAATTTTACTGCAAACAGAAATTAGACCGTATTTTGACTTACCCCCACCACTGAAATTCTAAGGAGTTCGGTCTTCTGGTCTTCTTGGTTGTAACCTACGATGCAGACAGTATACTCAACTGTCTAGAGATTAATATAACTGTTTATTTTTTTTTTGCTTCGACGTTGGACAATGGCATATCTTGACCCTCCCCAACAGGTTATGGGCCCAGTATTAACGAGTGAAAGATAAACAGAATACAGTGAGACAGTGTAATAATCTGCAAGCAAGATTGCGGATAGCTTGCGTGTTTCTTTCCCGAAATTGAACGGCTCAAACTGACAGACATGGAAGTTGATGCAGATGTTATTAGAACGAGAAGATCCATGGGACATTCTCACGAAACCAAGACCTGAAGAAACAGATGACACGTACAACGACTGGAAGAGAACAGATCGTAAGGCGCGTTCTACGATCGGGTTATTCCTAGAGATAAGTCAGTTGCCTTTAATTAAGAAAGCGACAACAACACAGAATACGTGGGGTGCTCTTAAAGCTTATCACGAGAAAGCGACGGTTTCGAAGAGAGTAAAGTTTGCTGCTAAAGAAAATGTGTCGTATAGAACTCGGGGAAAGCGGAAATTTAGATAAGCATCTAATGGAAATAGAAGATCTTTTTGATCAGATTAGCGATGCTGGTCAAGAATTAAATAAACCTTTTAAAGTGGCTATGATTTTAGCTAATCTGCCAGATTCGTACGAAAGTCTCATTCAAGCACTAGAGAGTCGACCGGAAGATGATCTGACAATCGTTTTAGTAAAATCGAAATTACTAGATCAACATTCGAAACAAATTCGTACGAAAGTCTCATTCAAGCACTAGAGAGTCGACCGGAAGATGATCTGACAATCGTTTTAGTAAAATCGAAATTACTAGATCAACATTCGAAACAAATTGCTAAAAGCGGAGGATTGGATACCGAAAAAGCCATGAAATTCGAAGCAAAAGACGGCAAAGCAGAGAAGACCTGTTTTTTCTGTAAGAAGCCAGGACATTTTCGCAGAGATTGTCGAAAGTTTTTAGCCAAGAAGAATGAAGACAACGTCAACAAGAAGAAACAAGAAGAAAATTGACAACGTCAACAAGAACATGGCAAATCCGTAAAGAAAACCCTGAAGGATGTCCTGTATGTTCCTGAGTTTGAAGGACTTTTATCGATGAGACGAATGGCTGAAAAAGGACTTTCTGTAAATTTTGGCAATGCTGTCTGCAGGATACAGAATACATTTGGAAATGTCATTACTGTCGGCGAAAAGATTGGAAATTTATATAGATTAAAAATAGCTAACAAATCCCAAAAGCTACTAGCCATTATCTCAAGCAATGTCAGCACATTTGGCACCGTAGGTTTGGACACCGAGATCCAGAAGTCATACAAACGATAGTAACTAAGAATTTGGCTAATGGATTTAACGTCACTGATTGTGGTAATTGGATGATTTGCAAATGCTGTCTCAAGGGCAAACTTACTCGCATGCTTTTCCTAAAGAAGGTAGGACGGAAAATTAAGCAACTACTGACATTGATCCACACTGATCTCTGTGGACCAATGTCGACCACGACTCCTGGAGGTAATATATACTTCATGATCATGATCAATAATTATAGTCGTTTATCAGTGGTGTATCTGCTAAAAGCAAAGTCTAAAGCTGCCGGAAAGATAAAATGCTATGTTCATTGGACGGAAAATGTATTTGGATGAAAACCTAAGATAATCTAATTTGATGGTGGAAAGGAATATGATAACCAGGATCTCCGAAGTTTCTACGAAGCTGAAGGCATTAAGAGGCAGTTTACAACCCCCTACATCCCGCAACAAAATGGTGTAGCAGAGAGGAAAAATAGAAGCTTAGTAGAGATGTGAAAATGTATGTTACTCGATGCTAACTTGGCTATAAAATATTGAAGTGAAGCGGTTTTGACAGCAGTATACATGCAGAATCGACTACCATCTCGGGCTGTCGATCGCCCCCGTATGAGCATTGGACGAACCAAAAATCAAATTATAAAAAATTTTGAATATTTAGATCCGAAGCGTATGTACACTTGTCTAATGTGAAGCGATCCAAACTGGAAGCTAAAGCACAAAAGCTCACTTTTGTTGGGTATTCTGAGGAATATAAAGGATATCGGTTTTTGAATCGATCGATTGACAAGATAACAATTAGTCGTGATGCGAGATTTATTGAATTGAGAAATGGATGGGAACAGCAAGAAGAATCAAGTCTTACGACAGAGAAGAAGGCAGAAGAAAACGAAGTAGAGTTTCCAGAAGTCGTTAATCAACCTAATCCTGAAGAAAGATTTGACGCAGAATCTGATGAGGATATTTATTACGATCTTGAAGATATTCTACCTTCTAGTGACTCTGAAGATATCTTACCTGAAAACGACCGGAAGAACAAGACCCAATGCTGAATCGAAGAGTTCGTCAAAACCGAGAAATATTGCCTCAACGCTTCTCGGATTATATAGTCGGTGTGGTAACTCGCGATACTGAACCGACTGATTACAAAATGGCTATAAAGGAACCTAAGTGGCGTCAGGCTATGGAAGATGAAGTCACATGACAAAGAAAACAAGACGTGGGAGCTAGTTTATCTACCCGCTGGTAAGAAATCTATTGATTCAAAATGGGTTTACAAACTAAAAAGAGATGAGAGAGGCAAAATAGTGAAACACAAAGCTCGAATTGTGGCACAAGGGTACAAGTAACAATTCAGAGTCGATTACGGTGAAGTTTTTGCACCCGTTACGCGACAGACATTACGAGTCTTTCTAGCAGTCGTCAGCAAAAGAAACATGATATTAAAACATCTAGACATGAAGACTGCGTATCCTAATGGAGTAATTAAGGAGGAGCTGTATATGCTGCAACCACCCGATTCAAAAGCTGGAAAAGAAAAATTTGTATGCAGATTAAAGCGAAGCATTTACGGTTTAAAACAATCAGCAAGATGTTGGAACGAGACGTTGCATG